ATAATAATAATAATAATAATAATAATAATAATAATAATAATAATAATAATAATAATGATAATAATGATAATAATAATAATAAGACAACGAAGATGATAGCAATAACAGTACCAATTTAAGCGTCAACCAGAAGTTCAAGCCGTCGGCAGATGGATGCTGTCGACACCGTTCGTCTTATCGGCGAATTTTCACGAAGGCGATTTGGTCGCCAATTACCCGTTCGATTCGGCACGAATCACGAATACGAATCAATACGCAAAGTCTCCGGACGATGAAACATTCAGGTGTGTTTCTGTTGAATAGTAGTGCTGATGTTTGCTTCTGTCTTAAAGCCTTTGCTAATTTCAGGTATTTGGCGCAGTCTTATGCCAGCAACCATGCACATATGGCCAAAAATGATCATGCACCGTGCGACGGCTCTCTTCATGACGCGTTTGCACAGCGTGGTTCGTTCGGATTACATCAATGCACAAATCAAACTTTCGTATTGCTTCAATGCAGTTTGTTTCCAGGTGGCATAACGAACGGCGCTAAATGGTACTCGGTATCGGGTGGTATGCAAGACTTTAATTATTTGGCAACAAACGCATTCGAAATTACATTGGAACTCTCATGTGAAAAATTCCCAAACGGTAGTATGCTACCGCAGTTTTGGGAAGACAACAAGAATGCTCTATTGAAATTCTTATCGATGGTACGTAACTGCTGCTCTTTTGCTGTTTCCTTCATTTCAACGAGCTCTTTCCCATTTGCACTCGAATGAGCCACTCAAAAATCCCGAACTTTAGCTAGCTATATGATGATAAAATTTTAAACTGTTTTACCATAGCATATTCTAGTCTTTTCATGTGTCCTTTAATGCTACTATGTGTGTGGCATGGCGCCACAATAAATCAATTTGATCCACCAGAGCAAATGAACAGCAACCTCTATCGACGGCATCAAAAATTACGCTGATGTTAATACTTTTAACAATGATATCAATATAATGATAATAATGAACTAATAATAATGACGATGATTTCGAACAAATCATTAACGATAATAAAATAATAATAACAATAACATTGTGAACAATGATTCGAGTGTTTTCACGTTAGAAATTTTACAGTAAAATATAAAGGAAAAACAATTTCAATTCAGGCTCACCTGGGTATCAAAGGGATTGTTGTGGATAGGATTACAGGTCAACCAATTCAAAATGCGATTGTATGGGTGCGAAACGGTACTGAACGTGAACCTATTAAGCATCCCGTCACCACATGTATGTTATTAATTCTCAAGATTCATTCGTTTAAACCTGATTATGGTTCGTAACAACATAGATACACGGCAGGGAGTGTAAAGAGCTTACCCCTCTCGGAATTTAGATTAACGCCTCGTCCTCACCCCCAGACCTTAATGTCGGTTTAAATTTTTCAAAAGATGAAGTCCAAATTGCAGGGAAAACCGGTGAGTACTTTCGGTTGTTAACGCCCGGCAATTATGAGGTATTTGTGACAGCCGATGGCTATGAACCAACCATGAGAAGAGTGACTGTTCGTGACAATACGGTTGGCAATTATTCGGCACAAATAGAAAATTTTGAACTGATACCGAGTGGTGAGAGTGACACCTTTAGCGACATCAACAACGTTGTCGACGTTATACAGGTGAGTTGTGCTATCAGCTTTTGCATAGTTCACATAGCGCACCCTGAATCGCTTCATTGAATCGTTTTCAAACATCATTAGCAATATGTTATGAAGAAAGGCGATTCGAAACAAAAAAACAACTGAAAACATCAATTGTTCTTCAAACGGTTCTTTAACAGTACTCAGTGCACAGTCAACCCTTCAAATCGCTACAACATTCGACAGCGATTAAATAAATTTGAAATTTTTGTCCTCATCACTTTCATTTTGTACTAGCTGCATTACGCCTTCTAATAGCTACAATTCAGTCGTTCCTATCTCGTTAACTTTCCCAAGCGAGTAAAAAAAAGATGAGAATTCCCAAAACGAACCAAAAATGAAACTTCCCCTATTACGATTTTCGACGTCGCAATTCTCGGTGCTAATATTTATTCATTCATCGTTTCTTGAGACAAATTTTTTAATCGAAAAATTTTTTATTTTCTTATTTGCAGCCCGACGACGAAACTTCTATTATCAAAGAACTAATTGAACAAATGCAACAAAAACGGCAACAAGAAAACAACCCTACAGATTATTTTTAAATTAGTAATATTATGAGAAAATTGAGGATGAATTATAGTATTACTTTAATAATAATGGTGATATCAATAAAATTAATAACGCACAATAGTAATCAGTAGGTCACAAATAATATACTGGTCAATAAAAACAATGATAATGGTAAGATCAATCTCATTGGTCTGCATTATACTTCACTACTCTTCCTTCTTTGGTACTATCAGAAAACTGTTCATGTTATCATAACCAACATTTTCACCTCAAGGTTGCTGTTGCATTCATTTCGTATTTCTTTGTATTTATTGTGAGACCGGTACGGCGGGTACTACCAACTCCGTGAAGATGAAGACGGTGAGAAGCTATTCCAGAATCACCGACCTACGTGGGGATAGGGGCTGCCTATCCCTCCAAACCGTCGCAGAGACGAAGGCAGACAGCTGAAATGAATAGCCATACCGTGCCAAGCTAGATTCATCCTTCTATCTGTGAGTATGCCAAAAACAAAACTTTACTTTACGTGTGTTGTGAACGTGATCTCATTCCTTTCATTCCTCCTCTGCTGTATTTTTCTTTTTCAAAATTTCAATGGTTTCTTAAATATTGTGGATTATTATAATACACAAACGCACATATACATATCCTTTATTGTGATTCAAACCAATACGATTTCAATCAATCAATACAAACAAACGATTATTTTATGACCTGTTTCTTATTAGTGCAATAATAATAATGATATCGATGAAACGATTTGTTATAATATCATAGACAATGTTGCATAAGGCCGCTAAATGCTCGTCTCAAAACGTGAAAGATTGTTCATGTATAAATCTATATATTTATTTATATATATCAGTATTATTTATTGATTCGACTACATTGAATCATCACAGATTTACCTGAATTACTGTCAGTAAAGAAAGCATTTGTTGAGTTCGTTTTAGAACAACGACTGCACGCTCGTATAGTTAATTTGCATGATATCAATATAATTTGAATAATTGCAATGAAAAGTTATTGCTTGCAAAGACAATTCAAGAAACAAAAAATTTCAGACGTATAGATCTTTGACTCTTCACAGAGATCAAATGAGCGGAAACAAGGTGAATAAGTACTGACAGAAATAACAGTACTACGTGTCAATGATGGAAATGGTAAAATAATAGCAATGACAATAATAACAATGAGTAATGACAATAAACAAAGTTGAAATAACAATATATGTAATAGCGGAAATTCCGAGAGGATACTGCGTAGCACTATAAACTTATTGCTCGCGTTGTAGCTGTTATTGTTGTTATTATTGTCCTTTAGTTGATCGAATAAATTCTCTCATCTGACTAAAAATATGAAAGTAGTTTTCTTAGAGTCTACAATAAAGAAAATAAGCAAGCGAACAACCGACCGGTTTTAAGACAGCGTTATTCAGTATTATTCAATCAATCAAATACCAATAAAACGATTTTACCCATTTTATCATAAATTTATTCGAATTACTCATTCAAAATTCATCGAATCACTATCGCAAACGCAATCATTTTATCGTCGATCAAACGTGCAACTTGTTAACGTCGTAAAGGTCGGGTGTAGCAGTACATATGGGTCAAGTCTTCACCTGTTTGAGCCTAAGCCAAAGCCCAAGCGTAAGCTCAAAGGTAAGCCTGAGCCTTAACTTGAGTTTAATTCAAGCAAATAATGCTGACGTACACGGTCCGTCCGTTTGTGCTATTGAATCCCTACGACGTTCACAGGTTGCCGAGCGAATGGAACCTTTTTCTTCCATTTTCTATCGATTACACTGCCATTTCATCAGTCTTTTCCGATTTTATCATGCATTTTTCCCCATTATCTTTATTTATCGATGAAAATTTGTAATTGCGGACAGTTTTATACATGTGGATTTCAAATGTGAATGAATTGCAATTGTACTTAGCAATCTTCTCTCCGGAAATCGCCCACTATCATTCTTAGTTCAGCCTCTTCTCTCGTAGTTTTATCTACGATCGTCCTTCCTAAAAAAAATCGCTCATTGGAGTATCTGCTTCCCTAAAAATCGCTTGTTAACATTTCAACTCAGCAATATATCATTACAAATCGAAACCCCTGAAAGATGTCATCAACACTTAAGTTGGAGCAATGTCGAAAATTTTTGCTGAGTAGAAAAGTGTCCAGAGCCTGAGTGTAAAACTGAGGCCAAGCACTGATCTCAACCTGGACGTTAGCTCAAGGCTAATCCCAAGCCTGTGGGAAGGCAGGCCTTAAGCCAATTCAAACTTTTCAGTCGTCCAAACCATCCCGCTAACTTAATAACTTGCACCTTCGTTTCTGCTCAAACGAATGAATTCAGATTCATATAATATTGAATGTATATGCACTTACATATAACATAATAATTACAATATGTATAATATCAATAATAAATAATCATATCAACAAAATAATTGTTGTCAAAAATTCATTCATCTCTCAAATAGAAAACAAGTTTTTCAAATAATAAATCCTCTCCTTATTCCTTTCATATCGAGTCTTCAGTCATCATTTCAGAATCAAATCAAACAAATCTTTTTGTTACGTATACGTCAAAGATAGTAGGCAGATTAATAAAAGATGTGTGTTTGCACAATGTACAATTTATAAATTTAATCTCCTTCAAAGCATCGACCATCATATTAAAGTAGAATTATCATTTTCACATTCGCATTGTGAGCACAACTCGCTATTTGCATTCTTCTGCAGTTTCGTAATCATTTTTATTATTATCATGATTATCTTCCATTTCAGTTCTTTGCATATTGCTCATCTCTAAACGAAAATCAAAGCTGATCGAAAATCACAACTAATATTCAAAATATCGCATTTTCTGCTGTAATGTTACTGCTGCTATGGCTATATTGTGGTATCTTTGTGGCTTTACTATGTGAATCAGTTATTAGTCAACGACATCAGCTAACTGAACAGCAGTTTGGTGGAAGGACAAGACTAGATAAAAGTATCAATTTTAGGATTGAAAAGGTTCGCTCCTATCTTCCTTTGATAAACATCAAAAAAGACAATCAATTAATTCAGCACAAAGTTTATGTTATATGTAGTGATTGCAATGAACAAAACAGAATCATAGCGAGGTTTTTTTGATGATAAGTTGTTGCTTCGTCGTCATTCCGTATATATGGAAATAGAGTTTGACTGATTAACCGATTGATCAATTCATATAATTAGTAGCATTCAATTGAAATTACAGAATACATTCTGTGAACAACTAATGAATATTGCGCTTGATGTGAATATCTATGAATTCGATGATCTCCCTACCGACCAACAGGCAAGCGGATAATTTCTAGTTTGTTTCTTCCTTCCCCTCTCTTGTTTCCGTCCTTCGAAAGAACGAAAGATGTGAACAGAGTTAATCAAATTTTGATATGTTGGGATCGAGGATGATTGAGCTCTCGAGCTTTCAATATCTAAAGTCTTAAGCTAAATTTTTCATCATTATGGGTTGCAATTTCGACTATTTTCATAGGCTTATCGATTCAAAGAATTAATATTCAAAGTTCAATCCATGCTGCAGTAAAATGAACCGTAGGCTTTGGGCAGTAGATGGATGTTTACTCAATATAACAACTTATTTGAAATATTATGTATATACATGGTATTGCAACTCTTTCAGACTGTATTACTTCTGACACATATGCCGAAGACTGTGGCCGTCAGTGATGTTTCACGTATCACAAAGGTACTTCACAAATTATTATTATTTATTTATTTATTATTATTATTATTATTATTATTATTACTAATATTGTTATTCTCAAGAAAATTCTGATTATCAGTGTCACTCTCCATTGCTATTACTTCCAATATTACTACTATCAATGATTTCATCACGCTTTTTTGTTCGAAATTTCTGAACAAAAAAAGTTGAGGGAGAATATAATTTTTGGGGAAATTTGCAGGTATTTTTGAACGGTGTTAAACAACGGATCAACGAACAAGCATACCGCTGTGAGATTGGAGAGCAAACGAAAGGTTCTTATTGAGAATGAGTTCGATTTCTTACAGCCGCTCACACCATCCTCCTAACTCTACTGAATTTCGAAAGCAGCCAATCTCGTTCTGAAATGCAAAATTCATTCTTTTTCAGCATGTAGGTTTAGCGGAGGACTCAGAGTTGGGTTTAGGTTTGGGAAGATGCAAGAAGTCTGAAAAAGACAATGTTTTATGAATTTCTATTAAACATACTAGCTGATATGTGCAGACTTCATGGATACCCTTTATATTCATCGATCTAGATGGAGGGGTGTATGATCGAATGAATCGATTTGCTAAACAATGGTGCTCTAAACAAGAATTAATGAAGAACCTAAGTGCACAATATCATCTTTACTCAGAGAAGAGTTGAACGCAATAAATAGCAACGAAGCAATTTCACAATCATCTTGTACTTAACATTTGTTGATATCTAGCAAGTTCACTCGTGAATTCCATTTCGTTCGTTATACTATAACTAGAAGTTCATCATCTCAGCGAGTGAATGGGTAATAACAAAAATTATAATAACAGTAAATCTTACAACCGAATGATTTTGAATTATGTCAATTGTGAGTGATCTACGTGAATGCTGAAGTACTGAAGAATTTTTATTCTGACAAGCAGCAGTTATTTACTGAAGACAAAAGCATGCACGAAAATGGATGGACAGATAGATAGATGGATGGATGGGTGAAGAGGACACGAGGAAAGAAGAAAGGGCGAATTCAGAGATGTAAGGCCTCGTTTTAAAGTAGTATGACCTTTAGGCTAATCTTACTTTGCTGCAGCCATGAGTTTAAGACTGAGTTTTGTTAAGAAATCGAGTGAGTCGAGCATAAGCACAAAAACTAGCCCATGAGGGAAGGATAGCAAGTACATTCAGAGTATAATGCAATTCATAAATCTAAGCATCTATGGATAGAAGTCATTTTATGATTATGAAATGATGCATTTGGTGCATTCATCTATTCGATTTCTTCATTGTACTTCATTCATT